GTATATATATATATATATATATATACATCTTTTAAAAATTTTTGTCACGGATAATTTAGAGAAAATAAACAATTCTAATTTGATATTTCGAGTCAAAGAAAAGAAGTGTTACATACATTCTCTTCTATATTTTATTGTACGCTTCATTTATTGCGAAGTTAAATGCAAATAAATAAAAAAAAAATAATAATAAGATGCATAAATATTTGAATGACAAAAATTAAAAATTAGAATGATATACAAACAAAAAATGTGCACGGCAGATGCAGATTATTATAATCGAGGAATTAAAGCAAATTTATATTAATAAAATTATATTAATAATTATAATTAATAAAAATTATATTAATAATTATATTAATAATTTTTAATATATTAATAATATTAAAAAAATATAAAAATTATATTAATAAATTTATATTAATATTTCTTTTAATCATATCCATTTGACTTTGAACAAAAATCACGTGTATGACCCAGTCAAATCATAAAGCGGTATGGAATTTGAATTTGAATCGCTCGCAAAAATTTTCACACAGGTCAGAAATAAAAATGTTTTACTTTATTGTTGCAGTGACGCATGACGGAATTGAATTTGAATTTAAAATTATACACGTAGTCTTAAATAAAATAGATAACATATTAACAATGAATGTAAATTTAGAAAAGGAAAAAAAAACATTTTTTTTTTTTTTAGATAACGCATTATAATTGCATCTATGATTAGAATAATTCGCGATAAATAAATTTTAACGCATTCAACGTGAGAATTAAAAGAATTGACGAGGAAGATGAATAAATAAATCTTCTCGTATTTTTTAGTAATTAATTCGAATGTTAACCTCTTGTTGACTACATTATACATAAACATGAATATTGGATCACAAGTTGCACGAGAAAAAAAATATTCAAATATTTCATTGCACGTATAATAAAGAATAAATATTTATCAATTTTCAATATTGGAAGATAAATACGACTAAACATGTATATTCGTAAAATCAAGCAATTATTTCAAACAATTATTTTAATCAATGTATATAATATAACAAATTAATCGTATCTAAAACGATTAACCTAGATATGTAATAATTCTGTATACCTTTTAGAAGGATAACGAAATTTCATTTCGAAAATAGAATTCCTGAATTACCCCTCTATATTGTCGTATTACACAACTACAATTGTTAAGTTTTATTAAATTTCATCCCCATTCTTTATTACACCATCGAATCGATCCATGGGCAAACCTAACCTCAACAACATCAAGAATATCGTGTATTTTTACGCGAATAGTTTCGTCTCGAATATCGTTGCCCACGATAATCCAGTTGATGATAATCGTGACCTAACCTAACTTCTAACCGCGATACCATAACGCGAACTAAAATAAATGCCCTTCGATATAAAAAAAGAGATTCTTCGAGAGATAGACCTTGACGCGATTTGAAATCGAAACCAAACGTTCTGTGTATCGCGTAATTTTTCTGCACGAATCGGCGCATTGCGCGTCCCGCATAGAACGTTCGCGACACGAGAGCTTCGAGAATAGCTGTGGCGGCCTTCAAAAAAAAAAAACAAAAAAACAAAAAACAAGGTTAACGTCGATGTAACGCGAAACAACGCGATCCCTTTTGATGCACTCTGCAACTACCTGGAGCGCGCTTCATGTTAAATTGCTCGATCGAAAATTTTCCACCGTCGCGTAGAACCATTGTAATTACTCGACCTAATTTCATTCGCGGCGATCACCGCGACACGTGCACGTTGCGGATTTTTATTCGCGTCCAAAGTGGAGGGGGGATAAATTAATTTCTACCCCGAGAAAAGTAAATAATACGCGTTTTGCGAATAGCTGAAATTCCATATTTTGAATATATATATATATATATATAAAATATATGTGTATATATCGTTATGAAGAAAAGTAATCGAGCATGAATAAAATGTCAGCCTTACCACTATTTCGTATTTTAAGATGTGCGCGAGAGATATTTCATTATGTATAGTTTCTATTGAGTAATAATTTTCGTACAATTTTATGTGTATACAGTCACTTCCAAAAATATTATTATGGCACTGGTATAATTTTTATTAATTTGGATTTTGGTAAGGGGAGGAGGAGGGGTCTCAATTGAAATTCTAAGGGGCCTGGTGTAATTTTTGGATCTATGAGAAGGATTGAGTACTCGATTTAATCTTTTTTTTTTTTTTTAATAAATAAATAAGAGCACAATGAATATATACGTGTTTTTATATGATATATTTTATATGAATTTTATTTTTTGGAAGTGAATGTATGTAAAATAATGTTTCGAAATACGTGGAAAATTTTCTAGAGTTAGTAAAAATTGGTATATACAAAAATTTCGATTTAGGTTTTTATTTATTAAATTAATAAGGGGTTGAAGTTTGCTTTGGATGAAGCGAGATAGAGAGAGGTGATCCTTTCTCAACTTGATAAATTTTTATGCATCTTTTCTTTTTTGGCTTTTCAAATCGATTGTCCAAAGATGTGTCATGAATATATTAACGCCTTATATATTAATGCAGAATTTCTTTGGATGAACGACACGAAAACTTTCTAATTTTATAAATACGTACGTATCCGACGAAAATTTTATGTGGAAGCATGGAAATTTATATCGATTCAGATTTTTATTTTATATAGTTATCTCGAGTATTTTTAGAGAATAAAAAATTTTTATTTTCATTCACAGATAAGTGTTATTCATTTAGATTAATAGGTGAATTGGATTATCTAATATTTGACATTATATGAAAATAATTTACTTTTTCATTTATCGACTAAGTGTAGATCCTTTATACAAATGATGAACTAAGAATTTATGTCATTTTCACGAAACTATTGACGAATCTAATAACATGAAAAGAATGTTAAAAAATTGCAACTAGATTCGTTGAATTTGTGGGGAATAATTTTTCGAAGAAAGGAAAAAGTATGATTTTATATTAATATAAGTATGATTTTCAATTTGCAAATATTTTGGAATTTTTTTTTTCTCCATTGAAGAGAAGAGCGAATCAAACGTCGATGGCTCGTAATATACTATAATATACTTTTAACAAGTATGATGGAATAAAAATGAACAATAAATATATCTTCTTTATTTAAATCTTTTTGCAGAAACGTTTCTCATTTCGTTTCGTTCATTTTTAATATCGTGTTGTTGGCTCGTTAACAAGTTCAGATTCTGAAAGGGAAGTTTATGTAGTGTTTACAGTCAGTTAATAGAAAAGAGTATCATATAAAGTCCCGTTTTACAAAGTAAACGATAATTTTACGAGCGACAATAAAAAATGACTTTAGGAAGCAATAAAACCGTAAGACATAATTTGCAAAACTTTTAGAAAAACTTTATTTACCAACATTGGTAAAATTCAAAGGTTATGAAAATATAAATTAAAAATGCTATTACTAATGAAGATTATCGTGAATTTTTTCCAATTATCATTTATTTCTTACAATGATTAATTTTAAATGGATTATATTTCCATTCTCTTTTTCTCCATTTTTTTATTTTTAAAGTTATCTTTCAATAGTAATTTCAAATTCATTTTATACGTAAAGGAAAAAGAAAATATAATTTTATCATAGATTGGATAAAGTTTTTTCTATGTGGATACAAGTGGAACAAAGCAAAGCATCATATAGAAAAGTATAAGCTATCACGATATGAGATAAAGGCTAATGATTCGGTTGATCATTGCCATTGTTCAAAAATGAGAAAAAAGGAGAGTTGGAAAGAACAGAGATTGCTAGAGTGCAGGTTGTTCTGTCATTGTCCGAAAGAGATGATAAGATAGAGGCAGTTCTGAGCAATAGTATTTGAAATAGTATTTGAAATAAGAGAGAAAAATATTGTCATAAAAATATCTTTTGAATTATGTGAGAAAAAAATTAATTTAAAATAATAATTTGTTCTATATCTCTCGAGCAAAATATTGTTTTTTAAATATTTATTCGATTTTATAGAACATAAGTAATTAAATATTTCAATTGTATATTTTTTAATATAAACTTCAAATGAATATTTTCCTTAATACAAGGAATAATGAAATATTCGAATAATATTTCTCTGTTCATCAAAAATTGTGTTTACATCTCTATTGTTTCATTCATTTTTCATTAAATGAAAACTATATATTATTTTCTTTAATAAATTTTGCTTTTATGTTTTCTCTTTTTTATTTTTTTTTTTTTTTTTTTTCTTTTTTGTTTTTTTTTTTTTTTTGTTTAACGTGATTATTTGCATATATCCTTATTTTTCTATGAAGCGTCTTTTTATCATATTCTACGTTTCATCATTTTTAAGTTAATATTTATAAGTATACATTTATTAATATTCTAAATAATTATTTAAATAATACATGAATACTTGCCATAAGATAAACTATACAGGGTAGTTCACCAAGAATTTGCTCTTTTTCATCATATTACCATCTCGTTACAAGGAACACGCGAAGCAATACTCTACTATTCATGTTCTCCTCGTCTTCCGTATCGTAAACTTTACAAAACTTCGAGTTAAAAATATCTATTAAAATAAATCAAGTAATAATACTTTTTTTCTCTTTATAAATAATATCAACGTATCTTCCACGCATTCACTTACTTTAAAAAAAATTACGTATCTTCCTTCAAACCATTCAACTCCATTTGAAATATTTTTTGTTACAACAATGATAATATTAGGTGGCGAAAATCAAGGTGGTAATATCTAGTCAGTTCTGTATGTATTTCCACCACCACAACAAATCTCCATTTCAACTATTCCATAAACTATTTCCAATCCTTTGAAACGTGGCCAACAATGGACAGCTGTAATTCCGCACAGTGGCGACATCTATGCGGAGAGATCGTTGCAAGGTTGGCTGGCAGTTCGCAGGCGCATTTCCCGGTGCATTCTCTCACTTCAGTCCCGGTTCGAGCCGTCACGTCATTCCTTCCCCACGATCCATCGGCTGTAGACATCGTTCTTTCTTCTCTCCACGCACACATACACACATATACACACACATACACACATACATTCTCCCCTTTTCATCGTTGCTTCTGCGGCAAATGTAAAGTAAAAACGTGCGGGCATCGACCATTACAAATCTCGCGAGCGTTGCTCATAATTCCACAAATTTTATTGGGTTCAAACGTCGACACGCGCGTTTCATTAGTTTCCTCTCTTCTTTGTCCTTCCTTCCTCACTCCCACTCGCACTCGTTGTAACGTTACACGCTGGCCACTATACCTACTCTACTCCCCACTCCAACAGCTCTTGCCACTGCTCGTGATGATTCCCCTTCCGTCCGCTGACCGATAAGCCGCTCCACTGTCACGGTCGAAGAAGAAAGAAGAGGGATACGAAGTGCACCGCCAGCTGCTGTTCCAACAAATAGTGTCGTCAGCATTTTCATCTCGGCTTTTGATCCACTTCCTTTGGGGATTCTGACGATTCGGAAACACGGAGTATGTCACTGATTTCCAATTGTTTTCGACGGCTCACCGGGGAAGCACCGTCCAAGAACGAGGTAAACAAAGAATCGTTCGGAAATCCCGGGCCAAGTGTGCACGAGCTTCGTTCGCCGGCCACGCGAGCGGCCTCTGTACTCACTTTTTTTGTTTTATCCGCGTTCGAATAATTATAGGAATTAATCGCTTGTTTTTTTTTTTATTTTTTTATTGAAATAAAGAGAAATAGCTTTTCACAGTGTTAGTGCGTTAGCACTATCTATAATCGTGTCGTTTTCTTTTTTATTCTCTTTCTATATTTTCTTGCTTTTTTTTTTTTAAAGTGATAAAATGTGCAAAGAATATGTATTATTACTTGTTTATACTGGAATTATTAGATTCGTAAAAAAAAATTGTGAATTATGAATAATTTTTATTGATATTTTTGATGAAATTAATATTACATTTTAACGAGAAGATCTATTTTATTTGTAAAATGAAGTATATAATAATTATTATTACAAGTCGCTAATTTGAATTCACTATGTTTCTTAATCAATAATAATAATTATTATTAATGTTTTCATTTATTTAAGATTATTTTTGTTATTTAACACATGTATCTTATCATCAAACTTTAATATATTTAATTCAATATATCAAGATATCGATCTATCTTGTCAAAGAATTAAGATATCCATATATAAAATAAACGCATGTCACATTTTTGTAATTTTACTTTTTAATATTAAAGAAACATATTTTATTATTTTATTAACGATATAATAAAATAAATATAATGATTAAAAAAAAACTATTTATTTAACACATTTGTTTGACTTTTATGTCAATAATCAAAATTTTCCACATTATTAAATTTTAATTTTATTTTGTATCAAATAAAATGATATTATAAAGATACAATTCAATTTCTCATTTTCATTTTTAACAGTTAATTTGCATTAAAAATTCACGTGTATCGAGAAATTACGAACATTTTCATTAGATATAACAAATATAACGATTTTTTCAAGAAATAGTAATTGTTCGACGTTTAAATGATGCGAAAAGTATTTATTCCATGCAGCTGACCGACGACTTTCGATCCTCTGTTTGCGTTACCGAGTGACCGCGATTAAACGTCGCCAAATGTGGGTCACTGGAAGAAACTGTGACACGCGGCCTTCCGCTTCCGTGGCCTTGAACCAGCTACCGGCCCAATTGTGCGTCCGCTGATTACAATCCTGGATCCACTGGGTTCTCCCTTATCCAGTTTCCAATTCACTTTATCCTTCCTAGATGATTAACCCGAATTCGTGACTGGATCTCTCTCTGTTCGAATGAAACGGTGAAATTAATTTCTCTTTCGCGACCTTTGGATGATGAAGAGCAAATTCATCACCATCGATTGATGAAGTGGGAATTAAAGTTAAAAAAAAAAAATTTGAATTTTTGAAAGTTTCGAGAAAACGTTTAATTAAAAATTTTCTGAGTTTAATTGATCGTGTTTAACATTTGGCAACGCGTGGAATCGAGAGATTGGTTTCATTGGTTTAAAATTAAATTATTGGCAAGAAAAATTGGATGTTAATTTAATTTCTTTGTTATAAATTAGAAATCGGAGAAATCAGAGAAGTATAATAAATATTTGTTAATTTACATTAAAATTTTAATTTGGTAATGACATACTAGAGAGACTTTCAGACACGAGAAATTTTGAAATTCGTGGATGCTTTCAAATATTTATATCCAGGTTATACAATTAAATGCTTGAAAAAAACTTTTATACAAATTTGAAAGCGTATTCTATTGGGATAACGAAGGGCTTTGGTGCGCAGAATTAATTCAAACAATTTTTGTTCTTTGCATGTTGAGCATATATACTTGTGTCACATAACACAAAATCGCCATTTATTCATACTCATTACATTAAACAAATTTACTTGAGAATTCAGATTGAACAAGAAAATAATAAGCTACAAATTTTATTTCGAAAAAAGAAATAATAAAAACCAATGTAAAATAATTGGAAAGTTTAATTAAAGTTAAAACAAAAATAGAACAATAATTTGCATTTATGGATTAAAATCGTTTTGCATAATAAAGTTATACAACAGATAAATTTTAAAAATTTTTCGAAAGACACGTGACAATTGACATTATTGACAGATATAGCAAAATCTAATTACCTCAACGATCGAAGTGTTCGAATAAATTATACAATTATTGAATTAAATAAATTCTTTCACTACATTGGAACATTGAATTTGAACATTCGTCGTCACATTTTTTTTTTTTTTCCACCATACTACAAGGTAAAAAAATTCTATATATACCACGACGGTAAAAAAAGATTCTTTCATCTCGTTTTATCGGGTGTTTTCCAGCTGAAGGGCTACAAGGTCACCGATGTGAACCGCATACGAAAAGTCGGCGTCGCCTGCAGAAGCCTTCAGGAGTTGAAGCGTAAAGCTTGCGCGAAACTGAACGTGAGTATAGTAAAATGATTAACGCTTCCAGCGTTTATTTAATCGATCGATATATAGGGTGTTAAAAAAAAAAAGATCCAAGAAAATTTTTATTATATTAAAACGAATAAAAAAATCAATTCGATCAATAATAACTCGAGTCTTTTGATGCGAAAAATCTTTTAGGTTCAAATTTATTCTCAACATATTTTGATTTTATTATTTGATATTGGAACAAAAATTGCTTCGTGTAACCAAAATGTAATAAATAAATTATCGATATTTAAAGATGTGCGTAATCTCACATGATTCATATATCGTAACAAGAATGGAATAATCTTGCATGCATTTGAATAACTAATTAATATTTCGTGATATCGAAATAAATAATATCGATCGATCGATTAAAATTAACTAATTTTCGATTGGATACGAATAAACTATCGATAAAATATCGATATTGTCATTTTTCTCGACGCTACTTTTACGTCACACTCTGTTTCCAAGCGTTGGAGTCCTTTCTTTTTTGACACCCGGTATACATCCTTTCGATCAAAGAGAAAGAGCGGGACGGATAAACAGGCGTGACGTCGATTAAAAAGGGAGAGACAAAGAGGAACGTGGTTCCAAGTGGTTCGCGTTGCATGGAAACCGTGATCCCCACGCCTCTTTTACATGTCATGATAAAAGTTGTTGGCTGAAATTGGGTCATAAAAGCCTCGCAGCTGATCCATACCCCGCTCCTGGAAAATTGTAACGCCCACACCACGTTCCATTTTCCAGTATATTTCGTTACAGATGTATATCTGAAACAGGCCAAGCAGCAAGCTCCAAGTAATAGACACATATATTTCTCGAGCCATTTTGCTCGAAGAAATTCGTTGCACGGATTTATCGACTGTTGTGTTTCGAAGAGGAATTCGTTTTTTTTTTTTTTTTTTTTT